GAGTAAACAAAAATATAACAGTCGAAAACACTCAAACTATAATATTAAAGCTATTCCAAAACTTATCAAACTTATTTGAAAAAAACACCCAAACTAACACCCAACGTTAGAATGCAAAATTGATAAAAAAAATTGACTAAAAAAATTGAGTGTTAAAAATAGATTTGTGTTGCATTCATATACCAAAATAGATTAAAAACTTCAGTTGAAAAAAATTCTATAGTGGACCAAAATCAAGTAAAAGAAAATATATAGTGGACCAAAACACACTTATAGAGAGCTCGAAATGTGATTTAATGAGAATTTTCTCTCTCACACAAACACATGAAATCTTAATTTAATGAGAATTTACATTAAACATGTACTCTAATTCTTCTTAGGGGTGACCAAAGTAAAGGTTATGCATAGATCTTTATCATAATAGATGGTTGATAAATTTTGCCTTNAAACATGTGCTCTAATTCTTCTTAGGGGTGACCAAAGTAAAGGTTATGCATAGATCTTTATCATAATAGATGGTTGATAAATTTTGCCTTAGTCAGTCATTGTGTCAAATTTATTCTCAATGGATCAAATGAAAATGATATATGTATGTATGAGGAATTTCAAGTCTTTAGAAAAACAATATAAAATTTGTTTGATGCAAATATAATTGTTAAAATACAACAACATTCCCAAAGCTGGTACACACAGGTTGTTATCTTTAAACCAATTTTGACAAAACTTCATTTTGAAAACTCATCCAATTGGCAATACTAAACTGTGTGTACAACTCATAATTTTTGTAGGTGTCATGTAAATGAAGTAAACATCATTAAGGATCCAAAATTGACATAAAAGCTTCATTATTTGCACTAATTTGAAGCTAACAAAATTAAAAAAAAAATCATAAACATCTTTATGCACATAAAACCATAGAGAAAAAATAGGATGCAAAGTCATACTAATTGACAAACTGTAGCTTTTTCTTTCCCCTTAGATCTAACATTCGTTAATGAATTTGATATTTTTTCCTCCTTTAATAAAAAAAATAATGTAGATAATGTAAGAAAATGCTAATAAAAAAAATGACACGAAAGCTTCATTATTTGACACTAATCTAAAGCTAACAAAACTAATTTAACATTTAGCATTTGAAATTGCTAAATTATATGAATTGGTTTCGACTAACAAAACTAATAGTCGAAACCAATTTAAAATTTGAAAACACCAAATCTATAACAGTCAAACTATAACATTAAAGCTATAACAAAACTTATTCAAAAAAACACTAAAATTAACACCCACTAAAATTGTTTTACAAACTTTTAGTTTTGAAAAATAAATAATTGACTAAAAAAAGTGTTATCTCTCTCTCCCTCCTCATTTAGTGTTGCATTCATATACCAAAAATGGATAAAAAACCAAAATAAAAAAATAGACTTCATAAGTTTTCCCAGTAACCAAACAACATAGGAATCAAAAATCAAAATTACCAAATACCAACAAAGGACATAAAATTAAGCGAAAATAACTAAATTCAACAAAAGGCAGACCCAACTAAAGAGTGGTGGCTTGCGTGTAGGGTTTTTGCATCAATTATGGATTGGTTGGTGAGTGAGTGTGTGGGTGGGTGGCTGAGAGATCGAAGAGGATTTGTGTAGGGAAAAGAGAGAGATAAATACCTCATAGGATGGTAGACATTGCTGGTGTTCTTGGGGTGCTAGAGGGTCGTTGGTGGATTGGTTGACGCAACTTATAATTTCAATCAAAATAACAATAACAATCAAAGTAATCCTATTTCATCAATTTAATCCTCAATAATCATCAACGCAACATTCTATTTCATGCAACTAAGAAAACCCTATTTCATTAAAGTATTAAAGTAACACTCAATTTCAGTCAAAGTAATCCTCACATTCAATATTTAAACCCTAAAGTTCAATAGCAAACCCAACTTCCAAGTTCACAAACATTAATCACCAATACCCTATGTTATAAAATTAGAACCCAATCGATTGTTAAAAAAAAAAAAACCATAACATTCCATTTCATATGATTAACAAAACTCTAATGCTATTTCATGAAAGTAACACCAAATCTCAATCAAAATAATTCATTCAATCAAAAAACTAAAACCAACTTCCAATTTCACAAATATTAAGCACCAAAACCCTATGTTATAAAATTAACACCCAATTTGCATAAAAAAAAAGATAACATTCCAATTTCATAACAAACCCAAACCATAACATTCCAAATTAATAAAACCCAATCGCAATCCAAAATAAACCAAACATTCAATTTAAAAACCATTAGAGTAGCCACTAATTTGAAATGTAACAAACACGATGTCATGGAAACCCCAATTTGAAAATTAGCCACTAATTTGAACACCCAAATTAACATCCAAAAAATTGCTTTAAAATATGTGTGCTTGTTGTTTATGTGTGTGTGAATATGACTGTGTGGTGTGTGTAAGTGATTGTCTCTGTGTGTGTGTATCTACTACCTCTCTCTCTCTCTGATATATGTGTATTACTGCTTGTGTGTGTGTGTGTTCGAACATGTGTGTGTTGTGTGTATGTATTGTGTGTGTGTGCGAAGAGAGAGAGGAAGTTACTTGGGCTCGTTCCTGAGAGAGAGAAAGAGGGGGGTACCTAGCGTCTTCCATGGCAGAGGAGCGAGAGATAGAGAGAGGGGGTACCCTAGCGGCTTCCATGGCAGAGGAGCAAGAGAGAGAGAGAGAGATGTTTGAATTGGGAGGAGCAAGAGAGAGAGAGAAAGACGTTTGAATTGGGTGGAATATTGATAAAAAAAAAAAATGGGTGGCGTGTGTGTAGGTATAGTGGGCAGGAGGATATATTTGGGTGGAATGGATTGTGAACCATTGGATTTAATTAGATGAATTTAGATGAGATCTGAACCGTTTTTTTACTTTTCTAAATTAGGAGGATTGATTTCAATTGAAAACTTTTGAAATTGGTGAAAGTAACACTCAATTTCAATCAAAGTAATCCTAACTTTCAATTTTTAAACCCTAAAGTTCAATAGCAAACCCAACTTCCAAGTTCACAAACATTAATCATCAAAACCCAATTGGAAAAACAAAAAAAAAAAAAAAACACAACATTTTAATTTAATCAAAAACCCAACAAAACCAAAACCATAACATTTCAAATTAATTAACATTCCATTTCATATGATTAACAAAACTCTAACGTTATTTCATAAAAGTAATTCCAAATCTCAATCAAAATAATTCATTCAATCAAAAAACTAAAACCATATTTCAATCAAAATACCCTAACATTCAATTTTAAAACCCAACTTCCAATTTCACAAATATTAAGCACCAAAACCCAAACCATAACATTCCAATTTGCATAAAAAAAAACAATAACATTGAATGTAGTTTGCCTCAACTATATTTTTCAGTTCCAACAGAAAAAAAAGAAAAGAAAATAAGTAATACCCCTTCTGTGTGTGCGTGATATGTTGAAACTGGTGTGTGTGGGTTTTGACTGTGTGTGTCATGAGAGAGAGAGTGAGAGAGAGGTGTACCGGCAATCAGACAGAGAGATGGGGAAGCTTCTCTTGTGGACTGGAATTACTCGGCATGGCAGAGGCAATCGGCAATCGACAATTGGATAGAGAGATGTGGGTTTTTAACTGTGTGTGTCGTGAGAGAGAGAGAGAGCGACAGAGAGATGGGGTAGTTGGGTTTTGCTTGGGATGGGTCAGCTGGGTGGCATGTGTGTGTCGTCAAAGTGGGCGGAAGGGTGAATTTGGGTGGGATAGATTATGGGCCATTGGATGAGTTTAAATGAATTTAGATGAAATCTGAACTATTTATTTAAATTTCAATTAAATCCTAACCGTTGTTTTGCTTTTCTAAATTGAGGGGTTGATTTCAATTGGAAAATTTTGAATTTCTCTCTATCTTATTAGTATAGATTTATAAAAGAAAAACTCAAATTATCAACCAAATGAACACAATTAACACCAAAACTACAACATTCGAACCAATTGAACATTCGAAAAACTCAAACTATAACAGTCAAACCAATTGAACATTCAAAACAATTTAACCTCTAATTTGTTAAATTTATTTGAAAAAAAAACACTCAAATTAACACCCAAATGAACACAATTAACACCAAAACTATAACATTCAAATCAATTTAACATTCAATTTGTTAAATTTATTTGAAAAAGAAAAACTCAAATAAACACCCAAATGAACACAATTAATACAAAAACTACAACATTCGAACCAATTCAACATTCAAAAATCCCAAACTATAACATTCAAAACAATTTAACATTCAATTTGTTAAATTTATTTGAAAAAAAAAACACTCAAATTAACACCCAAATAAACACAATTAAAACCAAAATTATAACATTCGAACTAATTGAACATTCGAAAAATTCAAATTATAACATTCAAACCAATTGAACATTCAAAATAATTTAAAATTCAATTTGTTAAATTTATTTGAAAAAAAAACACTCAAATTAAAACCAAAATTAAAATCAAAATTAATAGTATTCAACAATCAACAACACTAAACCAGCCATTAACGTCATGCCTCTGTAATAACTTTCTAGTCAACTTTCTCAGAGCAGAACCTTGGGGTTTATGTTGCATGTTCTGATAACTCTTACATGGGGGCACTTACCAAGCTCAAGTCGTTAGAAGAAATATTAGACTACTTCACCTATATGGGAGAAACCGGGTTTAACATTCACTTTTGTAAAATTTTCAAACCAAAATGAAGACTCAAATCAATTTATGTGTGTGTGGGTTTGATGTTGTGTGTGTTTTTCACTGTGTGTCGAGAGAGAGAGACCAAGAGAGAGGTGTACCTGGGCAATAGATGAGATATTTGATGTTGGTTTAGCCATGGCAGAGGAGTTCTTAGTGTGTGTGTGTGTGTGAGAGAGAGAGAGAGAGAGATGGCCGCCTGGGATGGGATGGGTCAGCTGGGTTTTGATTTCTTAGTGTAATGTTGCAGGTTGTGTGGCCATGGGAATAGCTCAACTTCTCTTGTGGACTGGAATTACTCGGCATCCATCACGGTGGAAGATGTGTGGGTTCAAGGATAGCCATGCCATGGCAGAGGAGTTCTCTGTGTCAACTGGGTTTTGCTTGGGAAGGGATGAGATGAGATGGGTCAACTAGGTGGCATGTGTGTGTTGTTAAAGTGGGCGGGAAGATGAATTTGGGTGGGATAAATTATGGGCCATCAGATATAATTAAATGAGTTTAGATGAAATTTGAACTATTTATTTAAATTTTAATTAAATCCTAACCGTTGTTCTGCTGTTCTAAATTGGGGGATTGATTTCAATTGAAGAATTTTGAATTTCTCTCTATCTTATTAGTATAGATTATTAAATTTTATATTTTTATTGAAATAAGGGTAAATAAAACTTTTGAAATAAATTTGTCTTTTAAGACCAAAAAAAAGTGCGTCTGAACTAATTGACCCAAAAGACTATAGTTGTGTACTGCCTCCACAAACTCTAAATATAAAACTGTGCTATGGCCCCAAAGTAATCAATCTCTGGCCAACAACTTTGTTATTGCCCAATGGGCTGTTCTTGGTGATTAATATCTCAACGTTAAAATGCTTAATGTATATAAGAACTTAAGTGGGCCAAGCATATCAATCACGGCCCAGCTCACCATGATTCTCAAACGGGCAGGGAGATGGCACTGCTTTGTTCTATGCGAATGGAGAAGTCTCGGTCCCACTGAAAAAATTTCGGTGCTGAACTGTCAAAATTTATAAGTTTTGCGGGTTGAATTACAAGTTTTTATAGGTTTATTTATAATAAATAAAATAACAAATTTTAAGGCTATATTACAATTTTCATTGAACCAAGTTTATGGGTTTGTTTATTGAATTAATTATACTGGAGGTCCCCAAAAAATAGAGTTTATCTCATTTTTATCTCTAATATTTCAATTGTATTATTTTAATCCCCGAATATTGAAAATATTTCAACGTGGTCCCTCAAGCAGACAACATTCAACTTGTTAACAGTTTTTTTCTCATAAACTTGTACGTAATATCTAAATATGGATAAAAAAATAATTTAAGTAACTCTTGACCAAAATTTAGGTAACTCCTCGACTAAAAATGTATAACATGGTTAGTTCTTGACCAAAATTTGGATATCTCATGATCAAAATTATGTAATTTAGATAGTTTTTTGACCAAATTTTGGGTATAAATTTGGTCAAAAGTTATACAAATTATTTTTTTCTTCATATTTAGATATTACGTACAAGTTTCCTCATATTTAGATATTATATGATAAGTTTATTATAAAAAATTATTAGCAATCTGAAAGCTATTTACTCGAGCAATCACACAAAAATATATTTAATACTTTAAGAACTAAAATGAGACAAACTTTATACTTTGGGAATTACGGATGTAATTAACCCATTAAAAACAATGATGTTAAATAAAACATTCGGGTCCATCCTTGACCCGGTTTGTACAGTATTTTTTTATCTTTATACACCGATTAACTGAAACCCACGGTGGAGTGAAGCCCTACCTTAACTTTCAGCAGTTCATCTCTTTGTCACACATCTCCTTGGCTGAATCTCGAGCGCCGCTTAACACCCAACAACCAGGCGACGAAGGTGGACCTGGAGGTATGCCCATCTCTCTCTCTCTCTCTCTCTCTCTCTCTCACTCTCTCTCTCTCTCTCTCTCACACAGTGTTTCTTCACCAATTGATTTTGATCTCGATACTACACGGTATTCGTGTCCATTACGATATATTTTCTAGGATAAATATATGTGTGTTTATATCTGTATATGTATTTATATGTATGATTAACTATGCACATACTTGTTTCTCTGATCAGCGGTTGCTAGGGTTATATAAATTTGTAGTTTGATTGTTTAAATTTGATTTGATATGCTGTTGTTTTCTCATTTCTATTTCAATTGGTCCTATATATTCTATTTGCATTTTGAAGCAAATGTTGGTATTAGTTCTTGTACTACGGTCGGTAACAAAAATAACACCAGATCTCTCTCTCTCCTTTTATGTTTTCTTTCTTATTTTTGACTAATAGTTGAGTTTTTACTCTATTTGTTCGTATAACACCCTGTCTTTTGTTTTATTTGGTAGATATGGATTGGCAAGGCCAAAAGCTAGCGGAGCAGCTGATGCAGATAATGTTGGTGATGTTTGCGGTGGTGGCATACATAATTGGATATCTGATGGGCTCGTTTCAGAACATGCTGCTTATATATGCCGGCGGTGTTGTTTTGACTTCTCTGATTACTGTTCCCAATTGGCCTTTCTTCAATCGTCACCCTCTCAATTGGTTGAACCCCAGCGAGGCCGAAAAGCATCCGAAGCCGCAGTCTGCTAATTCTAATTCAAAGAAGAAGACCACTAAGAAGTAGGTCCTTTAATGGATTCCAGCTCTCAAATTGATAAAGGGTTTGTGATGTTTGCGATGTATTGGGTACCTGTGCCAGTTAGCTCAATGAACCATTTTGTTATTGCTTTCTCTACATGTTACAGGTTTATACAATGCCTAAAAAGTATTAAATGTCTACCGCTTTAATTACCTGTTCTTGAAATGCCCTATCATCTATATTGGATAAGCTAAAGATAGTAATACTGTCCCAACCCCTTAAAAATATAATTTTTTTGTTAGATATAATGAAGTAGATGGGCAAAGGATCTTATTGTAGCTCAGTATTCAATTTTTCTGGTCGGTTCATCTTGTCTTGCAATTAAATGTTTCTGTTAGCCTATTACACGGTGCTGGGTTTGGCGTTGTCTAATTAACAATGGTAAGCTCAAAATCGTTATTTTTATGTAGGATTTGTTTTGGATATATTGAAGTCGATCATAATCTACTGTAATTGACTGTTATATGTAAATTGGTTAGGCATGTTTCTCTAATCATTGACAGTCTATTATAGTGGCAACCTTCAGAGTCCATGCAGTATATGTCCCTTGGATGTGCCAGTGCAGTTGCAGAATCATTTTATTGTAGCCCAGTTATGATACTGCTTCTCAATGATAGATTTGAAACTTACAGTTGTATTGTTTTTTATTTATATGGGTTGTTGGAAGGGGAATTTTTGGTGTTGGAGTGGGATACTTTTTGAAGGGCGGGCAGGAAGTTTGGCTTCCATTGATCAGTTACAGTGATTCTGTTAAGGGGCCATATCAAAGTTGAGACATCATAGCTGGTTAGTATTCATCTTTCTTCAAATTTTCCTTAATCTTTTAAGGAAATAAATAGGAGCAACAATTAATAGGAGCTTGCAAACCATTAGCAGCCAAAATTCAATATGTAGAACTTAAAGAAGCCACCATTCAAAGTTGAGGTTCGAGGTTCAACTCTGAGGTAATCAATATGTATATTTTTTGTGAATTTAGTGTTGGACTTGCAGCAATCTCTCCAGAGTTCCTCTTTGGGTAAGTATTGCAGCCATAGATGGCCCTCAGTAGCCTAGCATTTTCAGTTGTAGTTATAACAAGAACACATTTAGTGTTGCTTTATGGTTCAATTCAACCTGTTCGTATAAGCTTAAATCATGTCCCAGCATGTCCTTTGTCAGTACGGGTGCCATATGTTAGTCTGTTGCTGATGAGAAAATCCACCCTTTTTGCAGAATTTCTTTATTGTTTCTGTGGGGAGAGCTAACTAGCTAGTGTAAGATATACTTGGACATGTAATAGGAGGAATTTGATTAGTTATCTTCTCTATCTTTCCCTTGGTTGGTAGACCAGTGAATCTGTTACAAGCTTGCCATAAGATTTATTAGCTTCCAGGTAATATGTTTACCTGATGTTTGAAGTTCTCATAAACATTACTGTGGTATGCATGTTTTAGTAATTGTTTCTGAAAAAATAGTTGGGGTTAATTTCAGTCACACTCGTGTCTGGAGTGCGATATAGTAATGTCTGTCCATATCTGTTGATGTTTGAACTTTGTTGACACCTACAATTGTTTCATCACAGAAGAACATTGTGAGGATTTTAGTTGGTGAAGATGAAATAGTAGGGACTTAATTCTCAGGGGATATAATCACGGCCTGCATAGTTAACACTTAACAGTGTAATCCACCATGCAAGCTGTGAAAGGTAAAATTGATATGCTGTGGCTTTGGCTTTTTTGGAGTTTGGACTTGATGGCAATCGGGATTGACCATTGCTAAATAAGCAATTCACCTCGTGAAACAGAAATTAATAGGCATGTTAGCTCAAGGTGCGTGTAAACTAATTCGAATATCTTGATCATAGAACCAAAAAAAAAAAATTTTGACAGACTGTTGTGGTGGGAGTAAACAGTTCAGTGGTATTGTTTTAGGATAATTTTATATGCACTAAAATTTGTACTAAATCAATTGTAGTTGTTGAATCAGTGAGGAGATCTATTGATCTAATAGTTGTAATTGATTTGGTACAAATTTTGATGCGCATGACATGACTCATTGTGTTAAGGACATTTAGAAGCGCATATGCTTGGGTAGTGTGGACTGCAAACTACCTAATGGACAGCTTTTCAATGACGGTAGGAGACATGACATGATCATCTTCTTTAAGATCTGTTTGGTATGGTAAAAAATTGGATGGATGGAAAGTGGAGGATGAAAAATGGAAGGAAAATAAAGTTTTTTCATTATTTGGTTTCAAAGGAAAAGGCGATTGAAAGGAAAAGTGGGAAGAAATCACATCGCTTTCGCCCACCATTTTCAATCGGTCCGTTCCGTTTTAGGGCGAACGTTGGAGAGAGAAAAGTGGTTTTGAGTGGGGCTAAACTAATTTACTATAACTCCCTCTAACTTTTTTGGCTTTTCAAATGTCTGCACGCTAAATAATGTACTTATGTAATTGGTTTAAATACTACAAAACACTACAAACTAATGTAGTGGACTTTATTTTTTTTGGTACTTTTAAGCGCACTCTTTGAATTCATCCTCCATGTTTAATACAATAAAACACATTCATATTTTTCACTTATCCAACTCAAATTACATTTTTTATACAGGTTAGATTGGAGCATATTTATTCAATAATATAATAAATTAGGGATTTTGAAATTTATGTCATGGTAAAAATTATTTTTTTATATAAGGGTATAATAGTAAATTAAAGGTAAACACTTTTGCCTTTCTTTTCCTTTCCTTTCCTTTTTCTTCTAATACCAAGTATAGAAAGTCTATCATTCTAACTTTTCATCCATCTTACTAAACAAAAAGGAGAGAAATCATGAATGAAAAATTCATGCCTGCTACTTTTACTTCTCTTCTATTTTTCATCTTTCCAATCAAGCGTATCATTATTGTTAGAAGGTGGAGGTTGTGAGTGCTTGTCGAACTTACATACTAGAGATGATAATTCCTCAAGACATGATTTATAAATTCCTCACTATATTTAGCCTTAATGACTTTGGGTTGCAAACGGATAGATCAACTAGACTAAACGAGTTAACTTGAATTTAATATAACAAGGCACAAACCTAATTAAACACAAATCTTTCTATATCATATTATAGATGAGTCTGAATACACATTGAGAACATTTTGACATTTCACAACTTATATTTTGGCACGTCATCAAAACGTCCAAATTGTTCCATAATGTTTGCGGCACGAGATTCACATGAACAGAATCATTGATTTTCTGCATGAAACCTCTCACTTCACTATTATTTTACATCATACATGTATTTTGATCGCTTCTGTTGGGGCTAAACAATGAAGTCCTTATTCATCTAATGTTGTAATATGTAGCTCGTCTAGTACTAATAATGACTGGTTAATCCGCTTACAAGATTGTCTCATATTCTTCTTGGACTCCAACAACGGTTTGGTTGTTTGGCACCCATTCCACCACCTTGTACCTGAAAATGTAGTAGTTTTTGAATCATATATAAATTAGCTCTATGTTTGGTATGAAAGAATATTGGATTGATGAAAAAAGATAAATGGAAAGTGGAGGGAAAGGAGAGGTTTTCTTTTGTTTGGTTGGGATGGAAAATGGAGAGGAAAAGAAAATATGATGGAAAAGGTGTGCCTCTCTCGCCCACTTGTAATCCGCCCAAATTTGGCGGAAAATGGAAAGAGAAGTGTTGGGAAATGATTGCAATTGTTAAATTTACTACAATGCCCCTTAAAAGTGGCGACTTTTTGAAACAAAACAAAAGTGGTGGGTTCTCATTTTTTTTTTCCCTAGCCAAGCCAACACAATGTGGGACCCTGAGTTATTTTTACTGTATATTTCATACAACCATAAGGGTATTAATGTAATTTAAAAAGTTATATTTTTCTTATAATTTTTTCTCATACCTAATAAATTAATAAAAGAAATTTTTTTTTATATTTTTCCATCATTTCTACCGAACAAGAAGGAGAAAAAATATATTTCATTCCTTAAAGAATTAAAAATATATTCCTTTCTTTTTCCATCACTCCTATTTTCTATTTCTTCTACCAAATATTTTATTTTATTTTTTTTTTTTGGGGGGAGAGGGAAGAGGAAATGGGAGGGGGACTTGATCCCTTCACTTTAAAAAAGCAAAACTTTTATAAAACAAGAAGTATTATTGAACCAAAAGCTCATTGGTAGTGATAATTATAGAAAATGCAAGAAAGACAAATTTTTTAAAATTTTAATTGTTTGCTTAGCATAAAATCAAAAATGATAGAAAAATAATTTTCTTTCATGCTTAAATTTTCTCACAACTAATCACCTTTTTTTCTTATAAAAAATGTAAGAAAGTTGTGATCTATAATTAACTTTTTATTTTACTCTTATTTTTCTTAAAATTAAAATATTTTATTAGTTATTAATTTTAAATATCTTAATATGAATTTAGTTAATCATATGATTTGGCTCAAAGACTTTTGTTCTGGTGCTTATCCTAGAATTAGGTTATGAACTACTTTTTTTATTTTTTTTTATTTTAACTTCAATTATAATATATATATTTTCTTCTTTAGACTAATTTAATATAATTAAAAATAATTTATACAATTAAAAAAAAATTCTTGTAACTTTCCTTTCTTTTAAATAATAGAATGAAATTTTTTTAAAGATTTCTCATAAGTTTTTTTATGCTAACTAAATATATGCATGAAAATATATTTTTATTATTTTTTTTCTTTTATTTAACTTACTACCATTTTGATTTGTCATAATTTTTTTTTTCTATTCCAACGGACCTAAAAGAGGGAAAGACAGAGAAGGGGAGGCGGGGGAAGAGGTTGAAATGAGATGCCACTGCTCGCAGTCTTCGGCACTAAACACGTGACTGCACACGTGCCAAGTGAGCATGGCACGTGGCAGTGACATATTTTTTCTTTTCGTTTTTGGAAATAAAAAAATTTTAAAAAGAAAGTGAAAGGTAAACGACAAGAATAAAAGCACGGACGAAGGTGAG